CTTGGAGCCAGGTGATGACTCTAGCAGAGAACCGAACGCAATGGAGACGCACGGCTGAAGCCCTATGTTCCTCTAGGAATTAAAGGAAACAATAATAATTATTATTATTCTGTCCGAAAGACGTACCCATTCTTACTTCAGTGTTCACAAAGTGCTCCTTTATGGTCGACTAGTGAAGATTAGAAGTTTCAACGTGTGAAAAAAAATTACGTCTATTTCGAAATGGATTGGACAAGATGATCACTCTTAGCTCAACAGAAATGTAACCGATTGATTTGCGAATAAACTCCAACCATCTAATATAAACAATTCAAAGTGCACCATGATGGCGAGGTGCACTGCAAATTTGACTGACAGAATTCAGTCTGCACCAAAGTTACGACTAGATACACACACATTACACTAGTTACTGACTAGTGCCCAGTCAAAAATATTCAATACAGTCCTACAGGTCAATCGTGAACCCGAATGGCTCAGTGGTAATGTCTCTGACTGCAGCACTGGGTGACACGAGTTCGAATCTCAGAAGAGACATGAGTTCCTTCAGCGTTGCAGATACGCCTTACTGACTCATGAGTGCCAACTAGTACGAAACCTAGGTCCTAGGCTTCGTTCCGATCGCCTCCAACCATCTAATATCAAGAATAAACTAGCATTTATGGCACACAAACGCATAAAAATCAACTAATCAGAATCAGTAAACTTGAAGAAGTCGATTTTAAAAAGTCACTTACAAAATGGTAGAAACAAAAGTAGTAAAATTTAGATATTCTTTAAGTAGAGAATTTCGTCGAGTAGTGTACTTTAGTCTTACACAACATAGTTTTAGCTGTAATAAGGTACTTAAAATTCTTGATAAAACACAAGACTGAATTTCGAGAAACACAATGGATAACTGTAGTAAATATTTTCATTACTTAACCATAAATAAGTAAACTTTGAACAAATTCTGTTTTCACTACTTAAATTTTTTCTATACAGAAATTGATAGAAAGTAGTGCAACTGAAGGCGTCGAGTTTTTGTCACAATGATTCATTAGCACACACACACACCTTGAAGATAAAAAGCAAACATGAAAGAGTTAATTCTTTTTATAAAGCATTTAACAAAAAGCACTTCAAAATATTTGATCTGCAGCAAAAAATAATATTAAAGTCCTTCCTTTCTTACAGTTAACTCACTAGTCTGCATCGATTTTAATACTCAGTAGTTAAATAATCATAATTAAATGCTGATTTTTCAAAACAGAAAAAAACTATAAATTTTCACTTTTCATATTATTATTATTCTCTTGGGTTCCGAGTGGAACATAAAACTTCAACAACACATCTCCACTTTTTTCTATTTTCTCTTGTCCTCTTCATCTGGATCCACGATTGACCATAATCTCTCATCTCCTCCATGTCACCCTCAGACGACCCACTTAACTTCTAGAGTATTATCGGTTCGACTTATTCCTGTCTTGACACTCCCCACAGTCTGACGCATAATGGAGTCTACCACAATTAGGAATATCATCGGTGATAATAGGCAGCCTTGTCTTACTTCTGTATCCACTTCAAACACCTCACTGGTTTTTCCGTTGTGGATCACCTGACACATGCCACTGTCATATAGCTATTGAATGAGGTTGATAAAGACTTGGGCACTGCACGCCATACTGTTGAAGCAGTTTCCAAATTACTTCCCGATCAACGCCATCGAAGGCCTTTAAGTATTCGATGAAGGTACAGATTTGACTGCCGTTCTATGTTTTGTTCGAAGACGATGATGCATAGAGTTGCAATTTGATCAGCATATAATAATAATAATAATGATTTACTTTATTCCAAAAACAGCCCAAACAGTATTGTGATACAGAATGGAATTTTCAGCATTAATCACAATATTGCATCTAATTTCCTCAAATTTTAAATAATCTGCCTATCCTGAACCCAGCTTTTTCCAGTCTGGCGGAGTTCTGAATCCAGTGCATCTTTTATTCTCTTCAGAATGACGCGACTTTGTATTTTACTTTGTGTGGACAAGAGTATTACTCCACGCCAGTTCTTGCAGAGGCCTAACTCGGTCGCCCTTCTTTGGTAGCTTTTCATATTATTTGGTGTCCAAGCTTCAGCAGATTACTTATGAACTGAGAAGTTAGTGGATACATGATTCACCATCATCTTCAAGTGTGTGTTCAACTTTCAGGCAAATCCATATTCTCTAATGAGGCTGAAACGTAACTATTCTTGCCTCACCCCATGAAGTATTTCTGATGCTATTACTTTGATAACATAAGAATACTAAATATATTATCGTTTTAGATTCTTGGATAGTTATTATTTGTGATATAGATAAATCCACTACTGCTGACTGTATTAATATTAATTAAAGTCCGAAAATGCATATTACAAATGGAAATCAAATGCTGATAGCGCATTTATTTTTGTTGTATTTAATTTGAAATGCTAACCACACAATGTAAATATTTTTTTTATTTTTTTTTTGGTTACAGCTTGATGCCACACCGTATTTTCAGTACGAGTATGAAATTTCAGCATGGATATCGGTAGCCCAAATTTTGCAGGCCGACCATAGATATCGGGTGTGCGTCGGCAAGGGATCGAACCCCGAACCATATGCATGGTCGGCAAGAGTCCTAACCACTGTGCCACCGACGCACAAATACTCTGTCCGAAGACAGAGCTGAAAAAAATGAGGTAAGACTCATTGTATTGTGCCTCCCCACGGAAATCTTTAGTAAAAGGCGAAAGATTTATCCGCAAATGAGGAGACACCAGAGTTATCACTTAAATGCTTTGTTATGATAATGATTACTTTTGTGATTCTAGTTTCATCACTGGTACAATAAAGTTGATCAGATAAATGTAGCTAAAAGTTCTTTTAACTACCATTTGATTGACGGTTATCATTTGCTATAAATAATTCTAGAAATTGAATTCCTGAAAATAAAATCTTCAATTTATCCCATATTGTCACAGCTTATATCTATCAAAAGGATGTGTAAGAGCATTAGAAGAATTTAGAACTGGTTAAAAAGATAAGGATGGATTTCTGTTGACCAGATACCTCTAAATACTAATTATGATATTTGACACAATGAGAAATGTGAAGAGTTCTTATTCTTATGGTTTACTTGTAGTTTATTTAGATAAGTCAGAAAGATTATACTTCAGAGCTTATTGGCTTCAACAAAGGAAGTGTTGTCTTACAGATGAAATTGATATCATTTATGAGTTAATATATTATTGTGGAATTAACATTTCATTACTTCGCAAACGCTCAGAAAATATGTAGGAGGAAATGGAGATGGGTAGGGCACACACTAAGGAGACCATCGAATGACATCGCGCACCAGGCCATAGCTCGAGTGAAAGGTGAATGGGAAGCGACGAGTGGGTCGTCGGTGTGAGGGTAACATGGAAGGGATCATGCGAGAAGATGAGAGATTACGGGCAGTCGTGAACCCCGCTGAAGAGGACAGCACCAAACAGAACAAAGCAGAGATGTGGTGCGTCGGTGGCACAGTGGTTAGGACTATCGCCAACCATGCAAGTGGTCCGGGGTTCGATCCCCTGCCGGCACACACCTGATATCATTGGTCGGCCTGCGAAATTTGGGCTACCGATATCATATGCTGAAAATTCCATACTTGTACCAAAAATATGGTGTGGAATCAAGCTGTAATCAAAATAAAAATTTAAAAAATGTTCTACTCGGAACCCAAAGGAATAATAATAAATTGCAAACGCAAAAACAGTATGAAGTATACCTAAATATCACTTCAAAAAAGAATTTATTGGTACTCTGTTGACTTCAGATTACTTTAAAACAACACGAATAATGCCTAATGATTTTACCGGACATTTAGTCTCAACAATGATAACTAGCAGATTTACATTAGTTTCTAACTAAAGAAATATACGACTCAATAAAGCCACATTTCACGACTGCAGATGGTATGTGCAAAATCAGTTTAAAACTGTTTTAGCATAACAATAGGCTGCTGTCATTACCACAAAAAACTAACAAAAACTTAATTATAACAGAAACATAGTCCTTAACTCACAGTGATATTTATCTTGCATCTCGTGCTGAAATATTTAGACTTACCAAGCTGCAAATATGACTAAACCATAAGTCATTATTAACAGTAGGTTTCATGCCATCGACCTGATACCATTGTAAATGATGTAGTGTCCAGTAAGACAGGTATAAACACGTGGTCGCTCTTAAGCCAACAATTCTTGTACATGCGATAAACCAAGTACAACAGAAGAGTCCGTCAAGAAAACTCGGACTATTGGCAGACAAATTTCGACATCCCTCCGACATATACAAATCATCTCCAACTTACGGTTTGAAAACTGACATTTTCCCTCAAAAAGACAATGATTAACCTTCATTTACCTTGGCAATACAAAACTGTAGCTTTTATCTGCCCCATTTATATAAGTATTTCCTAATGGTAATTATGAGCACCACTTTTAAAAATTCAATTTGATCTTACTATACTGTTCATGATTACACAACTTCACACTGAAATATTATCACACTATGTGTATTACCAGTTGATCTGAATGAATATTCTTTTCAATAAATTTCCTTCAGTTATCAAATAAAACTTGCTATCACAATAACAATCATCCCCATGTATTTGACACTATTTTTACAGCATATAACATGATAACCGACTTAAAGTCAGGTCAGTACTGGTAGCAAGTCAAACTGTGGGTGTTAGTTAGCCTGGTACCCCAGTTGTAACTGTTATCCAACTTATAGGAATGATTATCTGACTGAACTGACTCTACAAATCACACTGAACAGTGAATTCTAAATGTTGTTTTTTTTACTTATTAAAAAAGTGAATTAACCTTACCAGATTTATTTGCTTCCCTTAATTCATTTGATTATATATCACAATCAAGGTGTTTTTTGTGTATTTAGACTGTATAATAAGCCTAAAAACTGTAATCAATCAATAAAAACATTCTACATTACTTTTCAATAGAAAAATACACCACATATAAACCTGTCATACGCTTTATTCTCTGTAAACACTGGATCGAAATAAAAATGATCAGACTGAGTTTTTATCTTGATAATGGCTTTATTTTATTTTATTTAAAAATCCATAATACATAGATGTACATACATACATACACGCATACATACACACACAGCTGTGAATACATTCATCAATGCTGAACAAGAATAAACAAACAAGTTTAAGAGAACTGCGAAATAATTGATATTCATCAGTTATGAAAGTCATTATTACCGGTTTGGTGAAATATATATATATATATATATCAGTGTCCAGAGAAGGAAAAAGTTGAACAGTGATAACACATGAATATACAACAACAACAAAGTTTGCGTGTTTTGTTATTTTGAAACAAAAAAGGTCAAAGATTTTTAAAAAAAACAGTACAAAATATTCTCTCCTAATATATGTGTATATGTACGAAAAATGATACACAGAAGTGATATTTGAGAAAGAGAAAATAAGAAAAAAGAAGATTTAATAACCATTTCGAAATCAGTGTCATCCAAAATGAATAATACTAATAAGGATAATAAAGAGAGAAGTATTTTTTTTAATACTCTGCTTAACAAATGCTGACTAGCAGTTCCTAAGACACCACTTTTTTTAGAAAAATCCTTACCACACATAAATATTTGGAAGACATAATAATAATTAGAAGAATTGAAGAGAATAAAAAACAAACCCATTTGTTCTTCACCATAGAGGAAGTGAGCGAAGTCTTAGTGTGAAGATGAAAGCAGTGAGATACGAATATATACATTGCTGATTCGTAAATAAACTATAAGTATCTATTTATTCAACTAGTTCTTTCTACCTTTTTTATTTCATTTTTAGGATAATAACACATATGATAGAAACTAAGTAACAATGCAATGGGAGAATATTACTATTATATAAATAAATAAATATATATTGTAGGTAATGTAGAAGTTTAATGCATCAATTAAAAAAAATTAAAACGAGATGTTAGGCTGTGCAAAATGATCTTTACACTGAATACAACCGGAATGCATTACACACATTAAAAAATAAAAGTGGTGAGTAGAAAATACTCTCATTGTGACAAAAAACAGAAGAAAGAAATTGAAACGAGAAAAGTATAAAACACAACAGTACCTATTTACTTATTACTCAGAAATCAATTGACGATATATTTATATAATATCAATATCGGCGCTATCTCATACGGTAAAAGAATCGAGAAGTATGCATAAAATCACTACAGAGTGTTAATTATCATCAAGGAAATCTACTAGGAATTTTTTGAATGATTCTTGACCACTTTTGGCATCCACATTAGACAGAAATTCTGATTTAAGCAGTTGAACATAATTCGGTCTGTCGTCTTTATTCTTCATGAGACATGAATCGATGAATTTGCGTAAGGAATCTGGGTATGTACTTGACTCTGGTAATCGTGGTGACGGTTCATGGACAACCTAGAATATATATACATTTTTTTTGAAGAAAAAACTATTCCATTGTAATTTGAATTACAAGAAATTAGAATTTTTATAATTAATTAAAAATAAACTGACCAATTGAGAGAATTTTTAAAATATCACACTCTTTGATTATTGTATTTGCTTCAACTCTATCTGATGAAATAGTTTTGTATAGTAGAATGACTTATGCAATGCAACATTTCAGTAAGAAGGTTTCTAGGCTCAAAATTTCAGTGTAACTCACATTCTTTAGCTTGAACTTTAAAATATTTAAATTTATAAATATAAGGCCCAAAAAAGTATCCACCTTAATCACCACAATAACCAGAGAGCTACTTGAATTCTGTAAATAAGTGTATCAATAACAGATGCAGAACAAGTTTTTTTTCTTTATTATCAGGACTACATCAAGAAACTGATATTATTGTAAGAAATCAGCCATATTAATAAACATTAAACATAACTGTTTGGTGGTGTGAATATTGTGTCATCATTAAGAGAACTTGCCTACAACTATAACTTTTGGAAAAGAGATTTGACAACCTAACCCACACCTCATCTATCTTAGATTGGGTAGAAAAATATGATTAGTATTCCCCACTAAAAGAAACTGAGGAATGCATAATCCTAAATAATGTAAACTGATAAGACAACAACCACTCACTTGTTGTGGAACAGAACCTGGTTATCGAAAAATGAAAATCTTAATTTTTCATTGTTCATGATATACATTGAATTGATAAAATAACTATCGTTTGAAGATGAAATTGCAACTATTTTGTGACAGACATATTCAGAAAATAAATAAACTAAGCATAAACCTGAAAACACATTGAATGCTCACCTGGACTAACTGCTGAAATACATTTTGTGATTGAGGATAACAAGGTTTCCCAGTTGCTAATTCTAGTACACTAAGACCAAGTGACCAAACATCAGAACGAATACAGAAGCCTTCATTCTCCCGTGTGTTAATTCGTTCAGGAGCTAAATAAGCTCGAGTGCCTATATTGGTTAGTGCAATTGAATTCTCTAGATCAGCTGATATTCCAAAATCACAGACCTTTTTCATTAAACAAAACAAACAGACAAAATAAATTAAGTGAACCGGAATTGAATGTCGGTATTTCAGAACGAGCTAATATATTAGATTTTTAGCTAGAACTTATCCCATATCCACTTACCTTTACTCGACCTTGACAATCAGCAAGCATATTAGATGGTTTTACATCACGATGTATAACTTCAAGTTGATGAAGATACTCAAGAGCTTCAACAACTGACAATACAATGTAAGCCAAGACATCAGGAGGAAAAATGCGACCGGAATTGTAAACCTAAAAAGTGAAATAAACAAATATATATATATATATATATATATATACAGATTATCAAGAATACCTCAAACGCTATTTGTAATTGCATCTTCTTTGTACAAAGTTTTTCACACTGATTTATTAAGTTAAAATGCAATAGGCACTTTAAAGCTAATAAATGAGCTAATAAAAAAGAGTACAGAGCAGCATGTACATACAGTACTTGACCGTTAAATATTAAAATATTTAAGAACTAGGCGTTAGCTTATTGTCTGAAACTAAAAAACTGATTAAAGAGTAATGTTGCAGAGAAATTTCATAAATCAAAGTTAAAAAGAAAAGTTATACGCAACAGTTTCTTGGAAGGTAATTGGTTCGCCACCCAGCAAGACTTTCGTTGATATTCGCATGGCTTGAAAAATTAATCTTCAAACAAAAGTGAATCACTTTATGTGTGGTATAATGATACGGATATAATCATTTAGATGTAACTCTCGTTTCTTAATATTGTATAGTGATAGTATTACCTGTTGAGGATATGACAGGTTCAAAAGCAGCTACAATTGTGGTGAGAGCTGGCTGCTAGCCAAAATTGGTAGATAGTAATTTACGTCAGTGTGTACGTCCCCAATATTGGTCATGAGAAAAATAAGAACAAAGACTGACTCAACAACCAATCACAGCAGACTTTGCGTAGGCGGATACAATTTGCAGATAGATAATCTGAACTTCAAGAAACGGCCACACAGGGATGAAAGATTAACGTTCAGCGAGAAACCACCATTCAGAAGACTGTGTTTGTTTGCTTACAATAATCTATAATAATGGACACGAAAATCTATAAATGTGTTAATTTCCTAAATAAACGATCTTTTGACTGACTCTTGCCTTCTGTCGTTACACTATTACATTATTTAGGGCTGTAAGCATCGTCTTATGTGAGGTATTTTGCCAGCTCTGGTCATGCGGAAATTAAATAACTTTGTTTCAGGTGTCTCAAGAAACTATAAAGCATAACAGTTAATTTCACCGCGGACAGCAATTAACTGCTTCATAATAGCTAGTGACTCGTGCAGTTCACGCTCACCACCCAATGAGGGATAGAACACAAAATATAAGCACGTTACCATCCGACTACCGGATCAGCATCCAACAACTGCTAATTTCAAATACAGAGCTACTGTCATTCAGCTGATTACGAAGTGATCAAAGTAATCCAATCCTCACAAACACAACATAAAGTTCCCAGCTGTAAGGAAGCCGACAGTGCAGATATATCTTCTAATGATCAGTAAACACTGTACCCAAAGTTTTTAGTTTGGCATTTAGAACCTATTTAATTACAAAAGTATATTGGATACTAATGTCACAGTGCAAGTAAGAGTGCTCGGAAAATTTGACTGACATTTTGAGGGCAAATGCCGAAAATCGCAACAATAGAGTATGATGACAGTGGTCATTTAAGATTCTGATTTCCTAAGTTCGTTTTCTTTGTAACAGAAACTTGGAAAGTGGGAAAACCAAAAGTTAAAAATAACGACTACAATATACGGTTATTAATGCACATGAATAATTCATAAAAACATCGGTCATCAATCACGAAGAGATATCATATATGATACACAAAGCGAATAATTCAACTCTGATAAGTCTGCATCGTGAAATCCATAGAAATTCACCCACAAATATTAGAAATTATACTGAATCCGTTAAAAGCCAAACAGTAAAATGGTTTAAGGAATCCTTTTGTAGCCACACAAAAAAATGCTACAAAATATGAAGCCAATTAATTTGCAAGACGAACAGCATTTTCTTGCATGAAGTGTTTGCTGTGTCAGTAAAAACCTGCCATGTTTGCCACAATATTAAACCAACACATGAATATATGTAAACAGCAGATAATATTCAAGATTAGTATTTCTTGATGAATGGGAGATGAAACGAGACCCCCATTGTGAGCTGTAAACAAGTCTTACCATAATAAGGAGTTTACTTGCATCAAAGATGAAGGAGTGACATGACAGTGTGTATAATGACAAACAACTTACTTTCTTCAATAATTTATCCAAAGACGTATCCATTAGTTCCATGACAATTAGAACATCACCTTCGCAAAAGAGGCCACAATAACAAGTCACGACAGATCGATGGTTACAACGCGTGCCAACAGCCAATTCACGAGAAATAAGAGGTCTGGACAGATAATTCAAGTGAACTGAAATATGTTTGACAGCAAATTCATGTGAAGTGGGCGTGTGAACCATTTTTTCTACCCTCCCATAATAGCCAGACCCTAAGACAGAAAAATGAATGATTAATAAACATTGAAAAAGACTAATGAAGTTTAAACTAAAACTGGAATAGACCTTACATTCAACGCAGCTACTAACAGTGCATAGCACAGATCATAACGCAGAACCTAGTTTACAGATGAACCTCTGTAAAGAAATTGAATAAAATTAAATTACATTTATAAAATAAAAAGATTGTCCAAGAATCAGTTTGTTGTCTAGAACATACAACAGGCACTTCCTATTTCATACGTAGTTGTAAGCAATCTTTATATCATTCAGACGATGAACAAAATAGGAGAATGTTGTACCAAATTTTACCAAAACTCTTTTACAATAAGTGCTAACATGAACTGAATACACTATAAAGATTAAATTGTTTCACTAAGTTAAGCGACTAACACACAACTTAATCAAACACAGTAAGACTGATTTCATGATTTAAGCATTGACATGTTCTTATCATTAGTTTAGGAGTTTTAATTTTACTTAATATGCTCCGGTTCGAAAAACTAAGTGATAAATAAGATTTTATGGCAGATTTAGATTACGTTGCATTTTCAATAACTGATAATGAAAATAACTAGTCAACACAACCAAAGTACTAAAAGGGATAGTGTATGATACGAAGCATAGACTTAAATTAATTTACACTACAATATAAATGAATTACCTAAATGAGCTACCTTCCGTAAATCCCTCGCATGTATTGTAATGGTCTCAGAACCCAACGATATTGTGGCTTCTTCCTTTAGTCCCAGAGGAAACAATACAGGGTCACGAACTGGTTGGCTATAAAAGAAAGTTTATGAAGAAAGAAAACTTGCAAACTGAAAACCCACTGGGTCGATTAATTGATGAATCACAAAATACACGAAAAAAATGTGAAACTTAGTACGGTCACTTCCGCAATATCAGTGATCTAACATTTTATGTTGACGTTCGATTTACGTGTGTATATATTCCCGGTGAAAAATTTTTCACTCCAATTTCCCCATAACATCCACCCAACTAACCATTTTTTTAACTGACTTAGTTTTGTTTGGATGCGTAATAACGTAGAGCATCGATTCAGAGTGCCACGTCATAAACATAGTGCATTTAACATATAAAACATAGAACTAGGAGAAAGACAAATGGGTAGACACGGAAACAGAATAAAATAAAGAATTTTAAGTGACAAGGAACATATATGCGCTATTCGACTAATTCAGATTTGCTTCAACGGGGATCTGCAAGCCTTTCACTTCCTTCAAGATTTCAGTAGGCTAATCAATAAAAAGCAAGAAGAGGAAACCATATCAAATACTAGTGTGTGCTGTTAGTACTATACTTTGAAAGAAAGAAAAAATCATAAGTTAAAAGGATAAAGTATTCAAGAAACAGGGAAACAAGTAAGAGGACAAGAGAATATAAATGATCTGATGTCTAGGATTGTTTGTAACTCTAAAATTGGTACAAACTAAGGATCAAAACATCAGCCAATATTCTGCCACAAGAGATAGAGTGATTAAATGAACCGAAAAGCATAATGTTTAAACAACTTACATTTAACAGGCTTTCATTATTTTGTTTTTGATTTATAGAAGTCGGGATGGATTAAAAAACGCTGATCAATCATGACTAATCACTCCACACCACTAAACGATAAACTGATTATCTTTTTTAAGTGTCTTTATGCGTAATAATGACTGACAGAAAATTAACTAGGACAGCTATCAAACGTGTTCAAAAGAAAAAACCTGTTTGTGGGTGCCTAGCTTATTGAACAACAGTTAATCGAAAGAAAACGTGAACGCAAAAATAAAAGTAGAACACTGACAATGGTTGAAGATTTGCAGCACATTGGAGATGTACGAAAAAATATTTATGCTCTGCCTTTTAAAATTGCAGGAACTTCATTTGTGCTACATTACTAGCTAAACAGTGGAGTTACACAAGAGAGTTGGAAAACACTGGCTAAAAACCATAGGTGCACATAGACTTCAAGATGTGAAAGTAACGAATACTCGTCACCAGCAATCGTAGGGATGCAGCCTTCGAAGTTTGTATTTTGCCTTAGGGACTATACGTTGAGTCAAAGACTCAAGCAGTGATGTCTAAAAAGAAACACAAAAATAGAGAACAACAGCCTAGTGAGAACCTTCACTCTATTCAACACTGTTGCAGCAAAACGATCCTACTGTACCGCACACTTTATTTTCGACCAATTATTTTACTACCATGATGCCAATTTGGTTGTTGTAGTGTATAGGATGTTTTGCATCACTTCAACTACCTTCCCAATTGATTTTTGCTAGGCTGCTTTTTTGTCTAAATCCTGATGATCCGTTATTTTTGAATCGCTAAGCAGTTGTATTCAGAAAATTGCCTTGTAGCGAGACATTCGGGCACTATGGGAACCAATGGTTGATAGTGATGTCCAGCCAATCAGTCAGTGTCGTTATGTGAACTACATTCGCACAGAAATGGACTATACCAGGGCAAAGACTCGCCAGATAGAGTATAGGGGATCATGCAACTGTGGCTCGAGTTGTCGGGATCGAAACCAGATCACAGTGCAGACCCCGGTGCTACCAATTGTAATAGAAAGCATACTGCACACTGTCAAAAAATTCAATTCGAAAAGCTACTTGATTTCTCTACTCATCTTTTCCTCTGAATATTTCCATACTAATTTTTCTGGTGTTTCTAGATGTTTTAGCAGGATCGAGTGAGAATTCAAACAAATGAATAACAATAATATACCCTTTCACCTTAAGTGAATTAGTCATAGTATAATTCGTTTTCAGTGATATTCAGTTTGGGCATTGAATATCTATGCTGTAGTTTTATAAGGAATTAAACGTTGAAAATTCGGTTAGGCATAAAGAGACGTGATTTATTCAGTGAAGGAAAAACTTATTTAGAAGTTTTTATACGCTGAAAAATACAGTAGCACACAAATGAAGTATCTGTCGATGAGATTCAACTGATCTAACTAGACTAGCAAATGACTGAATGCTGCGGTCATCCCTGAGCCAAAGATCCCAAAGTTAATAAACTTAGAAATATAATTGAGACGGAAGGACATAAAACATTTCGATTGACAATCTGATATATGAAGCAATTCTTATCAATGCTGCATAAGTTCAATATGTCAAAGTACTCTTTTCACAAGTTCAGCCAGATTCCATACAGACACTCATCATTTGAGGCCTTTCGGTTTAAATTTCTCATGCTATGCAATGCCTGTGAGGTGATTCAGGATATCCGAATACTGCGGTCTAGACGTAGTAGAGTGCTATATCTCAACCACATAAGCGATCCGGAGGAAGGTGCAACCGTCTGCATTAATTACAAACGCAAATAAACAAGAAAATAGAACACAACAAAACGTTTAGATACTAGTCTAGCGAGTTGAAAAAAATGTTAAGGAAGTTTAGAACGCAGATAAAAAACATGGAGCAGCAAAAGGCAACTCACAATAAACCAGAAATAACGAAAATATTGTGAGACAGACACATTTGGTAACAAGATGTCAAGAAGACACATGAAGGGTAAACACAGTACTACCGACTGGGTGATATTCCCCCAAAAACATCTTTGATACTGACTCGACCAAGAACTACTAGATAACATTGAGTAACGTTCACAGGATTCAATTAGCTACTTGATCAGAGGCTTATTTACACTTTATTGAGACGAACTAAATCAAATCTATGCACTTACAGACCAGGCACTCCACAGCTGCCTACAGGCATGACGCAGTTTCTTAAAACACCCGCATTTACTTTAAAGCTACTGTGGAACATGTAGTCACTTGAAACTAATATTTCGGAACACTCACCTTACATTATTTGTGTTTATTTGTTTTCAGAAACACCGCTCCCGTCCACAAATAATCCTTCCTTATCTTTCTTAATTAAGTTTTGTTGAAGTGATTCCAGGGGTTGGCAGTACTATTTGCTTTTAATAGGTCTGTAGCGGTAAATAATTCCCCAAAATTATTGACCACAGCAATCATCACTCAACATTGGATGCTGACCCTCACTGTTTAAGTCGACTTGTTTAGCTGAAGGCTTCCGGTCAAGCATCCATGCCATTTGGTACCCCGTCGTATCACGTTCGTGCACGATCACTAGCCAGTTAAACAATCATCTCGCAATACGTTTTGGTCTCGAAATATATCTCGTAATTCGGAAGATCAATTCTGTTGTTTTGCTTTGCCTTTGGTACATGAGGAACGAACACTATAGAAGTTGTTGGTATAAGACCTTGCGTTAGTATACTCCGTACAATTCGCGAACCTCAATATCGTCAGCCTCTAAACTGGTGAGCCCGACCGCGAACTTCATCTTTGGTAAATACGCAAACAAATCCGGTGAGTTCGTTACATTTTGTATTTGTTTCTGTACGGGTGAGGATATAGGCTATGACGTGTTTAATTTTTCCGCGCCTCAGGTTTTCTCGTCTTTCATTGGCTGGAACAGTGGTGGCTAATTTGATATTTAATTTGTCCTTGTTAGGTGATGTCGTGTGCAGGTTTGTGTGGTTGAGGTATGCGTTGTTTACAAGCATATTTGATGAAAATAAATGCAAAATTTGAGTATTCTAACGTTTTCTTTTACTTATTTTGTGCATGTACAAGGCTTGGTTTATCATACACTCGGTTTGTTGGCCTATCGGTTGCTGGCGATGTCAAGGAACCCGTGAGTTCTTTGGCTTTTCTCGATTTTAGGTTATACGTGTAGCATTTTATTGGTGGATATTGCTCAGTGATGTATTTCAATATTGCTTTTTCTACGGAATTATATTGAAACAGTCGCGAGACAGATGGATACTAATTGACAAAGCCTTTTTAGTTTATTGCAGGTAGCCAATGCGAGTGAGAGCATTATTTATCCTGTAATATTGTGTGCATAATTCTATTTTTGTTTACTCTTCCACCTTTTGTAGTTAATAATGTGCTGCATAAGTGTCAACGATGGACATGGTCTCGCAACTCGTGCGCATCTCAAAGCGGGAGAAGTAATCGCACAAATGGACCATTTTCTTAATATGTAAACAAACTAATGTTGTATTATAATAAATATGAACTTTTCATATAAATCTTGTTGTCTTTCAATTCATGTGTTCGCTTTGTGAGCACGGCATGCTAGACCGGTGCTCCCTAGGACTTGAACTCGTTACTATACTTAAGTGTAATTCTGTAGGAACACTATCGACCGATATGCGTGGTGAATTATAAGTAGTTTAGTGGCCCTTAAGTCTCTGTCTACAGTTACGTGAAAACGTCTCATAGTCATACGCAAGTCTGTAGGGAACAATGAAAACAATAGGTAGAACTTAGGCACTGCATTGCAGTTCCAGTTCGTATACGGTTAGGTGTATTCCCAATCAGTGTATTACTAATATTTAAATTAAAGCGTTATGGCAGTCCCTATGATAACGGGTGTTAACGTATACTGTAAAATTAAGTTTACACATAACGAATAAATAAGTAGGTTGAGCTGCTGCAGTCGTAGTAACATTTCGCTTACGTTTAATTATGCAGTCAAATAAATCATCAAGTATCATTGATAAGTCTGACATCTGCATCGTCATGCAAAAAAACTTAGTTTCACTCAGATAGAATAAGAAAAGTATTGTAAGCAGGATGTTAAATCTATTTAATGAAAAAAATAAGCAAATGTCTTTACACAATTGTTTTTCGTAATTATTTCGCCCATGTTGAATTGCTGTGACCAAGTTGACTGACATTACCGGATATCTGTAAATAAGTGAACAAAGTGTATGTTTTTAAATCGCTGAAGTAAGGAAGAAGTAATGTTAAAGCTGAACGCTTTATATTTCCATACCTTTGCTGAAAAAGGTTCATTTTCCTTTTTCATTCTTTGGCAATGACAGCATTTTTCTGTAGTTTTGAATGTCACACAGAGATTGTTCGTCTTATACAGTATAGCAGCAAGCAAATAATAAGTGTTAACTTGTAACCATTCACAATGAACACTGTACAGAAAACTTCATCACATCTTCATTTTAACCAACTTTTCCTTCACGCACAGAAGCATGCAGTCACTACATACCCTCAAGCATTGTAACCTGAACATCACAAAATCCCTACAGATAACTTCTTTCATAATAAATGATTTAAACATATGAGCCATAAGTGCTTCTTCCATATCCTTCACAGCCACAAGTAATTCATTAAGGATCTCAGAATATCTTAGTGATATGAACACGAACAATTGTTAAGACTGGGATAACTTATGTAACAGGTGCAGTAGTTGTAGGACACACCTCCTAGCTACTAATCGACAGAAAGTTGATACTAATTTTAATTAGTCTGACATTTCATGAGGACCACCTACACTATTCTTCGTGACCCGATGCACACTGATATAAACATAATCTGATGCCATTTTTGACAATGAACAATTAAAGCCTTCTGACATTCCAAGTGCAAATGTCAATTAAACTAGTATCATATCTTCGCCTAATCAATTTTAAATGGGAACTTCATCAAAGTAGATATAATCACCAGGAAATGCAGCAGCCTGTCTCATTCATCGCATGATCTCTTCCATGTGCTATGGAATATTTCAGTCATCACAGATGATAAAAGAAGTGTCTAACATCCTCAAAACACACATCTAACTTATGTCTGTAGGCTATTTCTCTTTCAAATGCACGATTCTCATAGAATAACTGGGATGACAACAGCCATTGCCTGCAGTCAATTTACAACCTTAAGATCTGAAACAACTCACAAAAACAATGCCTCAATGCTCTAAAACCCTAATAATAGACTTTTTATGCGATATTTCTTCAAAATGATGACTTTTTTATTAGTAATTCGTCTAGGCTGTCATGACAATTTTACGCATTACTACGAACACAATACAGAAAAATATTGCATTTTTCGGCTACAGAAGCCTAAAACTAGTCAAATATAATCTATTTTCACAATACTGAGCGATTAGAACGTCTCTATAGGCGTGAACGCGATAACCCATACAATGCGCGAAAACACATCGTCATAGAACATAGCCTCACTCTTTCTGTACTGTTTTTAATCAATAAATATTCCGCCACGAGTGATCAAACTCCTTAGGTCATTCGTATTCGCTCAACTGCCAAAACAGTTCAGCTCGTACCATTTTGGCCAGATAGTGTTGAAACATGATTTCAGATAGCTGAGTCTGATTTTTGTGAGCATGGGATAACCGATCAACGTTCACAGTTCCTTGCAGTTATTCACGCCCTACCGCGGGAATTCAGCAAGTGTGTAACTGTGCAGATGTCGAGTCCAGAATTAAGTAACTCGTACGAGTTGCTCAAAGCATCCCTCCTCAGGAGAAACGTTCTCACGGATGGACAGCGTCTGGACGAATTATTTCGTAACATCGAGTAAGGGGATTATTCAGCCGTGAGCATGCTAACAAGAATGAGAGAGGTTATTGGCCAAAGTCAGTTCGATGAAATACTTTTCGGAGGACTCTTGTCAGCGTCAAACTTCTTTCGGCAAAACTGACAATCAAACTGCCCAGATAGTTGTGAAACTTTCAAGTACATATACCAATAATTTTCGAGACCTTTTGTTTCATGGCGAATTTTATTGACACTCTAGTGTGTATGAACTCAGATTAGATGTAGTGAGATTTTACTGCAGTTAATGGATAGAGTAAATGCCATGCATAATTCAGAGTGGAGGTGAAAGTGACTATTTATGTTTGAAGCTCGGAATAGTCACAAATTATAATGTACCAGGTGGAATGAGATGCTCGAGCGAAAGTTAGTGGGTCAAACAAGAAATGATTGTCAGGCAGTATCACCAGCTAAAATGGTGTACCCAATTGTTTTTTATTCCTTTACGTTCCCAGTGGAACATAGGGCTTCAAGCTAGAGACTTGAAGTTTCTGTAGCAGTGATGTTCATTTTTACGTTATGGGTTTGCCAGCCCCATGCCCAACCTTCTCCCTTTACCAGTTAATTACTGGTTTCGGGAGGTGAATGAGTGCACCGGCTGGGGATCGAGTTCGAATCAAATATGTGGTCGGCGAGAATTTTACCGCTATACTGCTGGCGCACTGGCGTCGCGAGCAGGTGTGCCAAGTACTCCAAAGTAATACAACTGTCTACGTGGTTTAAAAAATTAACGAAAGATCCGGATTTACCAGGCTTTTCCTATTCATTGAATAGGAGATATATAAGTGTGTAGCGGAATATATTAAGTTTACTAGAAGTTAGATTAAAGCCTTAAAAATGAAACTGACATTGATGTATGGAGGCACCAGTGTTTTAATGTGTCTTTGGTCTAAGCAGGATAAGCCACTATGGAGTTGGAGAGTAAGAACCTATGCTTGTTTACCAAGGGCTTTTCGTAAACACCAACATCACTCCATCTCCTGAACACTAACAGAAAGGAAGACACCGTATACAATTAGATGAGTTGGAAAAACAGAAAAACAGCTGGCAAAACAGTTTTAACCATACTAGTGAAGCCTGCTTGACTGATGCGTCCGACATAACTGGCTAGATTCACGGAGTGATTTTCTGTAATGAAAACAAGAGTAATCTTATTAATTCTACGGCTTTAACCGCTTTGCTACCATTTACATGTGGAAAGTGCTTACCATTTTACTGGGTAGTTAGTTACTTCCTTATCAGCAACTAGGACCTACTAGGCAAGCTGTTGAAAACAAATAGATATATATTCAGATCGCATTTAAACTGTTCATGTTTCCCATAAAATTTTAGCTGAGGGAGAGCAGACCCGGATGGCTGTAGATGTGATGTCGAAGTGTCTCCTTGCACGATATAGGTGAACGTCAGT